TCATAAGATGGAACTGTGTGCTAGAAGACAAGTAGAATGTGCTAGTGTGAAAGGGGTTTTAGCTGACAATAAGAAAATAATTTACTGAGCATTTAATAACATAACTTGCACTGTTCTAGGCACTTCACAGATTTTTGTCTAAATTTCTAAAAGTGTAAATAAACATAATCTCTCTTAGATGTAAATAATTACAAATAAATTATTTTTAAATCACCAGAAATAATATAGTACTATGTTGCAAATAGTGTTTTTAAACCACTAAAATCCATTGGGAAAAATAAAAAAAATACTAGAGGCTGAGAGGAGATAAAGGAAAAATAGAAGGTATTGCCTTTGCTGCCAGAAAGTTTTAAAATAGGAACACACTCTCACAGACACATACACAAAAAGTAGGAATGACTAAGAATTAACAGGGAGAAACTATTTATATAAATATTAATGGGAGGCAGATTGAACATGTTTTGACCAGGTATTTTAAAGTGTTTGCTAGAAAAGAATGGAAATATAATTATAGGTGACGGAAATGGATTAAAACTGTAAAGAAATAAGAGAAGAAAAGCTAAAACATAATAAAATAATTAGTATAACTCATGTAGCATAATGCCCCACCAAAAAGGCTAGAATGCTCAATGAATGTCAATATCTGCCTCTACTCGTGCTTTAGTGAAGATTCTTAGTCACAGGAGATGGAAAGTACAACTCCATCTTCTTTAAGCCAAACAGGATTTTTACTGGCCTATGATTTAGCTGCAGAGCCCAGTAAACACCTCTCCATTTCTTAACCCTTCTTCATCTGGCTTTCCCTCTCAGGAAAGCCCATTTCACCTGCTAAAATGTCTTCCTTCAAATGCAGGCTTGTCCTTCTGTTTCTGGCTTATTTCACTTAGCATCCTATCTTCCAGGTTCATCCATGTTGTCTCATGTAGTAGGATTTCCTTCCTCTATTAAGGCGTAATAATATTCCATCATGTGAATATACCACATTTTCTTTATCTGCTTCATCTCATAATGAACATTTAAATGTTCATATCTTAGCTATTGTGAATAATGTAATAAATAGGGGAGTTTAGGTATTACTTTGGGATCATGATTTCAAGTCTTTGGGATAAACATATCTAGAAAAAGGATTGCTAGACATATGGTAATCTATTTTGATATTTTGAGGAACCACCATATTATTTGCTATAGCAATTGCACCATTTAACATTACCAAAATTATACAAGATTTCTAATTTCTCCATATCTTAACACATATTTGGGGGGATTTTTTATAAAAGCCATCCTAACATGTGTGAGGTGATAGCTCATTGCATGTTTGATGGGCGTTTCCCTGATGATTAGTGATGTTGAGTACCTTTTCATATACCTGTTGGCCATTCATGGATCTTATTTACAGAAATGTCTATTCAGTCCTTTTGTCCACTTTTAATAAAAAAAAAAAAAACTTTTTGGCTATTTAGTTAAAGTTCCTTGTATATTTTGGATATTAATCACTTATTAGCTATATGGTTTGAAAATATTTTCTCTTATTTCAATAGGTTGCCTTTCACTTTTTAGTGTGCAAAAACTTTTTAGTTTAATGAACTCCCACTTGTCCATTTTGCACTTGTTGCTTGTGCTTTCAGTATCATTTCCAAGAAATCATTGCTGATCTCAGTGTCATAAAAATTTTTTTCTAACAGTTTTATATTTCCAGGTCCTATATTTAAATCTTTTATCCACTTTAGAGGGTTTTGTTTATGGTATAAGATAGTGATCCAATTTTATTCTTTTTTCTTTTCTTTATTGATTTTAGAGAGAGAGGAAGGGAGAGGGAAAGAGATAGAAACATCAATGAGAGAGAACATCGATTGGCCGCCTTCTGCATGCCCCCCGCTGGGGGTCAGGCCCACAACGTGGGCATGTGCCCTGACTGGGAATTGAACCAGCAACCTCTTGGTGCATGGGTCAATTCTGAATCACTGAGCCACACCAGTTGGGCCAATTTTATTCTTTTGCATATGGATATAAACTTTTCCCAGCACCATTTGTTGAAGAGACTGCATTTTCCCCATTGTGTATTCTTGGCACCATTGTCAAAGATGAATTTACCATATATTCATAGGTTAATTTCTGGGCTCTCTATTCTATTCCATTGATCTATGTCTATTTTACACCATTACCATACTGTTTTAATTACTATGACTTTGTTATATATTTTGATATCAGAAGTGTGATGCTTACAGCTCTTTTGTTCTTTCTCAAGATTGCTTTGACTACGCAGGTTTTTTTGGTGGTAACATCAATATTTTGTTTTTTTCTATTTCTGTAAAACAAGAGAATGCCATTGGAATTTTGATAGAAATTATCTACATCTTTTGATTGCTTTGGGAAGTATGGACATGTTAACAATATAAGTCTTCCAATCCATGAATACAGAATGTCTTTTCACTTGTTTGTGTCTTCTTTAATTTACTTTATCAATAATTTGTAGTTTTTAAAAATTTTATTAAAGTATTTTATTCTTTTTTAAAATATTTTTTTATTGATTTTAGAGAGAGAGGGAAGGAGAGAGAGAGAGAGAGACAGAAACATCAATGAGAGAGAACATCAATTGGCTGCCTCCTGCATGCCTTTCACTGGGTATTGGGCCCACAACCTGGGCATATGCCCTGGCTAGGAATCAAACCAGCGACTTCTTAGTGCATGGGTTGATCCTCAACCAGTGAGCTGCACCGGTCGGGTAGTATTTTATTCATTTTTAAATTTTAATTTAAAATATAGCTGATATATAATATTATATTAGTTTCAGGTGTACAACATAGTAATTAGACATCTATAAATATCTAATTTAAGATGAAAGACCTTACACAGCAATCACCATAGTAAGCCTGATAACAATCCTTCATTATACATAGATAATATGATATTATTGACTATATTCCCTATGCTATACATTACATCCCCATGACTTATTTTATAATAGGCAGTTTGTACTTCTTAATTCTTCACTTTTTTGCCCATCCCCAGTATTTTATTATTTTGTATCTTATTGTAAGTGAGATTATTTTCCTAATGTCTTTTTTAGATAGTTTATGTGTGCACAGAAACAAAACTATTTCTTATGTATGCTAATTTTGTATCATGAAACTTTACTGCATTCATATTAGTTCTAACAGACTTTTGATGGTCTTCAGAATTTTCTACATATACGATTGTGTCATCTGCAAACAGAAATAATTTTATTTCTTCCTCTCTAAATTGATGTCTTTCATTTCATTTATTTATTGAGATTTTTTTGTTAATCCTCACCCAAGGATAGTTTTCCACTGTGTGTGTGTGTTTGTTTGTTTTTAAGATAGAGTAGAAGAGACGGAAGGGGAGAGAAAGAGAGAGAGAGAAATCAATGTGAGAGAGACTCATCTATTGGTTTCCTCCCACACAACCCCGACTGGGGTCGGGGATGGAACCTGCAATCCAGGTATATGCCTTGACCTGGAATCGAACCCATGACCCTTTGGTCTGTGGGCAAATGCTCTGACTGCTCAACCAAGCCAGCCAGGGCCTTTTATTTCTTTTCTTATTAATCTTGACTGGAGGGTATGTTCATTGATTTTAGAGAGAAAGAAAGGGAAAGAAAGAGAGAAACATCAATGTGAGAGAGAAATATCTATTGGCTGCCTCCCATACCCACCCTGAAACCTAGGGATGTGCCCTGACTGGAATTGAACCCATAGCCTTTTGGTGTACTGGATGATGCTCCAACCAGCTGAGCCACCCAGCTAGGGCACTTCTTATTTCTTTTCCTTGCTTAGTTGTTCTGGCTAGGACTTCCAATAATAGTTTCAGTAGAAGTGGTGAGAGTAGGCATTCTTACATTGCTCCTCATCTTAGAGGAAAAGCTTTCAGTTTTTCACTGTTGAGTGCAATGTTAGTTGTGCCCTGGCCAGTTTGGCTCAGCAATTGGAGCGTTGGCCTGTGGTCTGATGAGACCCGGGTTCAGTTCCTCCTAAGGACACGTGCCTTGGTTGCAGTTTGTCCCCGGCCCTGGGTGGGTTGTGTGGGTGGCGACCACACAACAGTCCCTTTTGCGTCGATGTTTCTCTTTCTCTCTCTCTCCCTCCCATTCTATCTGAACAAAATATCAAAAAATGTCCTTGGGTGAGGATGAAAAACAAAACAAAACAAAAAACAAAGTTGTAACTTTGTTACGTATAGCTTTTATTGTGTTGAGGTAAATTCCTTTTATTCCTAGTTTGTTGAGAGTTTTTATGAAACATGTTGGATTTCTCAAATGCTTTTAAAGCGTCTAATAAGATGATTATATGTTTCTTATCTTTTGATATCTTTTGATATGGTTTATTGCATTACTTAATTTGTGTATGTTGAACCATCCTTGCATCACAGAAAATAAATCCCACTTTGTCATAGTGTATAATACTTCAATGTGCTTTTGAATTTGATTTGCTAGTATGTTGTTGAGACTTCTGCATCTATATTCATTAAAGGTATTGGTCTATAATTTTCTTTTCTTGTGGAGTTGTAGAGGAGACACTTTTGGGTACTACTGAAACCAAGTTGCTATAAATTCAAACTCGATTGATATAAAGTTAAGATGTTAATTGTAATAGAATCCCCAGAGCATCCACTAAAAAAAAATATCCAAAAATAAATGAGAAGGGAATCAAATGGAGGTACACGCAAAAAAATTAATTGCAAAAGAAGGCAATAATGAAGAAATTGAGAAACATAAAAGTTTTAAGATTTACAGAAAACAAATAGCAAAGTGGCAGAAGTTCTTTCTGATCAGTAATTACTTTAAATGTAAATGGATTAAACTCCCTAATTAAAAGCACAGATCAGCAGAATGAATTGAAAAAAAAAAAAAAGACCCAACTATATATTACATATAAAAGGCTCATTTTAGATCCAGAGACAAATATGTTCAAAGTAAAAGAATGGAAAAATATATTTCAAGCAAATAGTAACCAAAAGATTGTTGAGGCTGTTTCCCTGTAGCAGCTCCCTATTGCTGGAGAAGAAAAGTGCCCCGGATCCTTTCAGGACTTTTGGTCTTTTGAGAGCGACACAAATCGAGTGAGGGGAGGAGAAAAATCCCCTGGATCCCTGCAGGATTTATTCAAGAAGGAAATAATAGAAAAATACTCAACATGCAAAAGTCTTGTGAAGAAAATGAAAGGAAACAACAGAACATGCCAAAAGCTGAGGAAGACCGCCCTTCAGAAGATGTACCACAGGAAGCAGGAGGAAATCCTCAGCCTTCAGAAGACAGTGTAAGCCAGGAGGAAGCAGAAGGAAACCTTAGAAGCGGGCTGACTCAACCTGTTCAGGGATTTAAAGAGGACACTCCCATTAGGCATTTGGACCCTGAGGAGATGCTAAGAGGAGTAGATGAGTTGGAAAGGCTTAGGGAAGAAATAAGAAGAGTAAGAAACAAGTTTGTGATGATGCATTGGAAGCAAAGACATTCACGCAGACGACCTTATCCTGTGTGCTTTAGGCCTTGAATTCTATTTTTTTAAAATCCGATAGCAAAATCTGGCCCCTTCTTTCTTTCTGTTTGCATTTTCTGACGTATCCTTTACCTTCATTTTATTTTTAATCATCTGGTGGAATTTTGTTTTAGATAGTTTCCTTGTTAACCAGCACTTTATTGAATTTTGTATTTCGACCCATTCTCCAGGTCTGTTTTTCAATTGGGAAGTTTCACATAAATGCATGAAAATATGTTAATTCTATATTGTAAAGTAACGTAAGTTACAAAGCAGCATATTTAGTATCACCTCACATATGTAGGATAAAAATTCCAAATTGTGTGAGTGCGTGCGTGCGTGTATACATACATACATACATACATACATCAAAAACTTAACTGTGCTTATTTCTGTGTGGTGTGAGTTTTCTTTTTGCTTATATGTATTTTTTAATGAACTTGTGTCACCAACAGAATTAAAATTTTTTAATAAGTAAGAGAATCAAATAATTTGCAACCAGCCTATAAGGGCAATGGGGACACTTAAACTCTTGATGAAATAATAAAGTGTAAACCTCAAATCACCTCTGAATCTCTTAGCCAGAGGAATAAAACTGGCAATTATTACAGAAAAAAACAAAAACAAAAACAAAAACAAAAGATTGTTGGGGCTGACCATACTAATATATGACAAAGTAGACTTGAAGACAAAAATTGTTACAAGAGACAAAAATGATATTATATATAAATACAAAGTTCAATCCATTAAGATATTATAATTATAAACATATTTACACTTAAGAACATAGTCACAAACTATAAAAACCAAAAAGTGACAGATTCAAAGACTGAAAAAGACAGTTTTACAGTAATAGTTGGAGACTTCAATACCCCATTTATAATAATGAATGGAACTAGACAGAAGATTAACAGGAAAATAGAAAATTTGAATACACAAGTCAACTAGACATAATAGACATATAAGAAAGAACACTATACCATATAGCAGCAGAATATACATTTTTCTGAAGTGCACATGTTCTTGAGCATAGTCCATATATTGGGGTGCAAAATATCTTTTCCAACCACAATGGAATGAAAGTTGATGTCAACAACAGGAGTAAAACTGGAAAGTTTACAAATACGTGGAAATTAAGCAGCACATTTATTTATTTATTTATTTATTTATTTACTTATTTTAATTTAATAAATTTATTTTGTTACAGATGTTTTTCCTTTTTACCCCACTGAGAGCTTCCTCCCATTCTCTCCCCCACCTCAACTTTGTTGTCTATGTCCATTGGTTATGCTTATATGCATAAGTTTTTTAGTTTATCTCTTCCCTCCCCTCTGCTTCTTCTGAACTTTGTCAGTCTGAACCCTACTTCTATGTCTCTAGGTCTATTCTGTTCATCACGTTACTATGTTCACTATATTCCACAAATAAGTGAGATCATGTGATACCTGTCGTTCTCTGACTGGTTTATGTCACTTAGCATAATACTCCCCAGGTCCTTCCATGTCGTCTCTAGAGTCCCCTTTTCTCCACATCTTTGCCAGCACTTGTTTGATGATTTGTTGATGGCAGCCATTCTGGCAGATGTGAGGTGATACCTCATCGCTATTTTAATTTGCATCTCTCTGATGATTAGTGATGTTGAGCATTTCTTCATATGTCTCTTAGCCATTTGTATGTCCTGTATGGAGAGGTGTCTATTTAGTTCCTCTGCCCATTATTTAACTGGATTCTTTGTCTTCCTTTTGTTGAGTTGTATGAGTACTCTGTATTTTGGACATTTACCCCTTATGTGATGTATCATTGGAAATTATGCTCTCTCATACAGTGGATTCCTTTTCCATTTTGCTGGTTGTTTCTTTTGTTGTGAAGAAGCTTTTTAGTTTGATGTAGTCTCATGTGTTCATTTTTTCCTTTGTTTATCTTGCCTTAGGCATTGTATTAATGAAAATTCTGCTGCGTGTGATGTCTGACATTTTGTTGCCTACATTTTCTTCTAGGATTTTTATGGTTCATGAGTCACATTTAAGTATTTTATCCATTTTGAGTTTATTCTTGTTTATGATGTAAGTTGATGGTCTACTTTTTTTTTTTTTTTTTGCATGTAGCTGTCCAGTACCCTTTATTAAAGAGGCTGTCTTTATTCCACTGTATGCTCTTGTCACCGTTGTCAAATATTAATTGAGCATAATGTCTTGGGTCAATTTCTGGATTCTCTGATCTGTTCCATTGCTCTATATGCCTGTTCTTGTGCGAGTACCAGGCTGTTTTGATCACAGTGGTTTTGCAGTAAAACCTAATATCCTGTACTGTGATCCCTTCTACTTTGTTCTTCTTTTTCAAGATTGCTGTGGCTATTCAGGGTCTCTTTTTGTTCCATGTAAACTTTTGGAGTGTTTGTCCTAGTTCTGTGAAATACATCATTGGAATTTTAATGGGGATTGCATTGAATCTATAAATTGTTTTGGGTAGTATGAACATTTTAATGATGTTAATTCTTCCAATCCATGAACAAGGTATGTACTTCCACTTTTTTATATCTTTCTTTATTTATTTTTTCAATGCCTTGTAGTTTTCTGCAAACAGTCCTTTACTTCCTTGGTTAAGTTTATTCTTAGGTATCTTAATTTTTTTGTTGCAATGGTAAATGGGATTTTTTTTTTTTTAGTTTCTCTTTCTGTGTGTTCATTATTGGTGTATAAAAATGTCAGTGATTTCTGGATGATGATTTTGTATCCTGCTACTTTGCCAAATTCATGTATTAAAACTAGTAGTTTTTTAATGGTGTCTTTAGGGTTTTCTATGTACAATATCATATCATCAGTGAATAATGAGAGTTTCATTTCTTCATTTCCAATTTGGACCCCTTTCATTTTTCTTCTTGTATGATTGCTGTGGCTAAGACTTCCAGTACTATGTTAAATAAGAGTGGTAAAAATGGACATTGCTGTCTTGTTCCTATTCTTAAGAAAAAAGCTTTTAGTTTTTGCCCGTTGAATATGATGTTGGCTATAGGTTTGTCATAAATGGCCCTTATTATGCTGAGATATGATCCTTCTATCCCTATGCCTCAGAGTATTTATCAAAAGTGGATGCGGGATTTTGTAAAATGTTTTTTCAACATCTATTGATATGATCACATGATTTTTTAAAATTAATTATTTTTGTTACAGATTTTTCTCCTTTTCCCCCCACTGAATCCCCCTCCACTTCCCTCCCTGCCCTGTGCTCAGCTTTGTTGTCCATGTCCATTGTTCACGGATACATGCATATAAGTTTTGTGGTTTATCTCTCTCCTCCCCTCACCACCCCCTCTTCTGAGGGCTGTCAGTCTGTACCCTACTTCCATGTTTCTGGGTATACCCTATTGCTCAGACTGTTATATTCATTATATTCCATATATAAGTGAGATCATGTGGTACTTGTCTTTTTCTGCTTGGCTTGTTTCACTTAGGATAATACTTTCCAGGTCCCTCCATGTCGTCTCAAAGGATAAGAGATTTTTCTTTCTTACAGCTGCATAGTACTCCATTGTGTATATGTACCACTGCTTTTTTATCCATTCGTCTACTGATGGACACGGGCTGTTTTCAGATCCTAGCTATTATAAATAGTGCTGCTACCAATATGGGGGTAAAAATATTCTTTCTGATTGGTGTTTCAGGCTTCTGAGGGTATATTCCTAGAAGTGGGATCACTGGGTCAAATGGAAGCTCAATTTTTAAATTTTTGAGGTAACACCATATTGTTTTCCACAGTGGCTGCACCAGTCTGCATTCCCACCAGCAGTGTACTAGAGTCCCCTTTTCTCCATACCCTTGCCAACACTTGTTTGATGATTTGTTGATGGCGGCCACTCTGGCAGGTGTGAGGTGATACCTTATTGTGTTTTAATTTGCATCTCTCTGATGATTGGTGATGTTGAACATTTCTTCATATGTCTCTTAGCCATTTGTATGTCCTGTTTGGAGAGGTGTCTATTTAGTTCTTCTGCCCATTTTTAAATTGGGTTCTTTGTCTTCCTTTTGTTGAGTTCTATGAGCACTCTATATATATTGGAAATTAACCCTTTATCTGATGTATCATTGGCAATTATGCTCTCCCATACAGTGGGCAGCCTTTCCGTTTTGATTATTGTATATTTCGCTGTGCAGAAGCTTTTGAGTTTGATGTAGTCCCATGTGTTCATTTTCTCCTTTGTTTCTGTTGCCTTAGGGGATGTATCAGTGAAAATTCTGCTGCATAGGATGTCTGAAATTTTGTTGCCTACAGTTTCTTCTAGGATTTTTATGGATTCATGAGTCACATTTAAGTCTTTTATTTATTTTGAGTTTATTCTTGTGTAGGGTATAAGTTGATGGTCTAGGTTCATTTTTTTGCATGTAGCTGTCCAATGTTCCCAATGCCATTTATTAAAGAGACTGTCTTTACTCCACTGTATGCTCTTGCCACCTTAGTCAAATATTAATTGAGCATATTGCCTGGGGTCCATTTCTGGTTTCTCTGTTCTGTTCCACTGGTTTATATGCCTGTTCTTGTGCGAGTACCAGGCGGTTTTGATTACAGTGGCTTTGTAGTAACCTGAAATCTGGTAATTTGATCCCTCCAACTTTGCTCATCCTCTTCAAGATTGCTGTGGCCATTTGAGGTCTTTTTTGGTTCCATATGAACTTTTGAAGTATTTATTCTAGTTCTGTGAAGTATGTCGTTAATATTTTCATGGGTATTGCATTGAATCTATAGATTGCTTTGAGTAGTATGGACATTTTAATAATGTTAATACATCCAATCCATGAACAGGGTATGTGGTTCCACTTTTTTTATATCTTCCTCTATTTCTTTTTTCAATGTCATGTAGTTTTGTGCAAATAAGTCCTTTATGTCTTTGATTAAGTTTATTCCTAGGTATCTTATTTTTTTTGCCACAATGGTAAATGGTATTGTTTTCTTAGTTTCACTTTCTGTGAGTTCATCATTGGTGTATAAGAATGCCATCAATTTCTTGACGTTAATTTTGTATC